TTTATAGCCTCCATTGCGGCCACTTCACCCCTGAGAAACCCTGGAGAGAGAAAGAGAACGTTTGTGGTGCAAGAGGAAGGCTAATTCACCATTTCTTGTGTGTTTTAGCAAAAAGAGAAGTAGTTTCCAACAAGAGGAGGTCAAGGGAGCTGTGGATCCAGGGTTTTCAAGTTCAGATATACACTATTGAGGTATCAAATCGAACTTCCCTTCTGTTTTGGGTTAAGATCTATGATTTAGGGTTTTCTATAAACCTTTTTAGGCTTGAAAGGTTGAGGTTATGGTCCCTTGCTGGGTTAGACCTCAGATCTGGACCCATAGAGGTCCAGAGAACCTTTCCCATTCTGCTTTATGCTTGTTCATGGAGGATTGGAGACTAGGTTGCCATTTTTAGAGTTATTTCTCCATTTATGACTTGATGTGGGTTGCATGCACGTAAAGGTTGCACCTTTACGTGACCTTTGAGCACTTGAAGGCCAGATCTATAGTTTAGAGAAGCAGATCTGACCTCAGAAGGTCATTTGAGAGTTGTTATGGGAGCAACTCGCCGAGTCCATAAGTGGACTCGACGAGTCGAGTCGGGGTTACCCCGCGATTCGTGATAGGTGTAACCCGTCGAGTGGAAGGATGACTCGACGAGCCAAGAGAGGCTGAAAGGATTCAGAGGACCCGCATGGACTCACCGAGTCGCCCTTGTGCACTCGACGAGTCGGGTCAAAGTTTGACCGTTGACTTTTGTTGACCTTAGGGTTCTGGTCAAGACTGATTCAAGACAGTTCAGGGAAGGGTAGAATGGCCTTCTACCCAATCTGTAGAGATGAGATCACGAGAGAATATTGATCGGGGATGTTATTTGAATAATAGGAGGAGGCTAAGTCGGGACGTTGAGCACGAAAGTTTATCCGACTTCATTGAGGTGGGTCTTCTCACTATATTGTACCTGGAAGGGTACCTATGTGTGACCGGAAGGTCTTATATGCTATGAGATGTATGAGCTGTATGTTGTTATGTGATATGTATGTGTTATGTATGTTATGTACGATAAGGACCGGAAGGTCAAGATGATATGGACTGGAAGGTCAAGATGATATGGACCGAAAGGTCAAGTGGTTACGGACCGGAAGGTCGATACGGGTAGGACCGGAAGGTCTACCGGGATTCGGGACGGAAGTCCCCTGAGACACATGGATTGGAAGATCCTACAGAGTTATGGCCTGGAAAGGCGTATGTGTTGTATATGGTATCTTGGGGAACTCACTAAGCATTTATGCTTACAGTTGTTATATTATGTGTTTCAGGTACTAGTGATGATCGCGGGAAGAAGCCGGCATGATCCGTACACACTTATAGAGTTTATGTTATTGAGATTCCGGGACATGTTTTATTATGACACAGTGGATACATTATGTTTTGTGATTATCGTGTGATTGAAAGTATGATTTAAAAATGAAAAATTGTTTTGGAAATTTACGTCGTTACAGGGTAGGGAGCCTTTACTCCTTTAATAGGGCTATGATGTTACGTTGGTAGTGGAGATTTTATCATTGTCCTGATTTGTTGTGGGTTCGTGTTATACAATGTTTTTATGGTCCAGATGGTGGTTGCAGTTCCATGATCACGAAAAGAGCTGGTACAGGTCCTTGGAATGGAGTTATTCGTATGTTCGTGCAACTTAGAAGCGGTGGTATAGACTTTCAGTCCTTATGCTCTATTAGGATTGGGGATGGCCGATACACGTCTTTTTGGCTAGACAATGGATGGGTGAAGACCGACTAACGTTTACTTTTCATAGAATTCATGCTTTGGATACCTTTAGACATCTTAGTGTCAACGATCAGATGTTTAAGGGTTGGGATATGACTACTCTGAGACGTAATCCCAGAGGAGGACTTGTGTAGGAGCAGTGGGATGGCTTACTTTCGATTTTTCAGAATGTCCAATTGCATTCGATACCTAATAGACCAGGCTGGATTATTGATGTTGATGACACTTTTTATGTTTCTTCTGCTCGTGGGTATATAGATGGCAATATACTTTTTACAGGAGGTGAAGAGACCCGGTGGAATAATTGGCTCCCCATTAAGACTAATATTCTTATATGGAGGGTTCAGTTACTTAGTATTCCCACTAGAGAGATACTTTCTGATAGGGGGATTATGGTAGATTCGATTCTTTGTCCCTTTTGTTCTGGTAGTGTGGAGACTATTCAACATTTATTTGCAAGTTGCACGGATCTGATTGTGTTTTGGAAGTAGATTGCTATTTGGTGGGGTATTCAGGTGCCAGGGCAGATCTCAATTTATTCTCTTCTTTCGTGGTCTTCTTCTATTGCTATGAGAAGAGGTCAACGTCAAGCGTTTGATGCAGTTATCATGACTACATTTTGGTGCATTTGGAATTTTCGAAATTCCATTATTTTTGGAGCGGATAACCTATCTAAATCTTTTCTTTTTGATGATGTGGATTATAGGACATCTTTTTGGATTAGCAATAGATGTAGGAAAGCTAAGATTAGTTGAAGTTCTTGGCTTCATAACCCTATGTCGGCTGCAATTTTGATGTAATTCTTTTCAAGCTTCTTACTAGTTTTTAATAATAATTTCACCGTTCCAAAAAAAATATTAAAAATAGTCTCTATATTCATATTTTCTTGCTTTTCGGTTTGAGCCTATTAGACAGTGATTGGTGTGCTAAATATGTTACTGATTGTAATTATCAATTAGTGTTATTAGACACCTAGTTTACTATAATTAGATTATTATGACTCTATATATATATAGAGCTCCACAGTAAAATACCAAATGTGTAACTCAATAACTCATGTATTTATTAATTGTGTCACTTTTTGTTTGTAAACATATCCAACAAATTCATCATCTCGATGTGACTTTTAAGGGTCTTGCTTGTTTCTATTTTTGTTGTTTTGTATTTGTAAGCAAATCAAGTTTTTGTCGTTAAAATTCTTGTTTCCACAATAGATATGTGGAACTTTTCAATTTTAGATTACGTTAAGCTACTATTCGTCACATATAGAATGACGAACGACATAGGATCAATACACGAAATGTAATAACTGTTAAGCTACTATTCACCATATACCATCTCCGGTCGAGTATCTAATTAGGATGGATGAAGTTCTTCTCCCTCAACCCTTCCACATCATTTTTTTTTTTGAAGTCTTTACATTCATTACTCCCAACCCACAATACAAATAATCTAGCTCTTCTAACCCTTCGGTCCACACACTTTAGTACAAACTGGAAAGCAGATAGTACAACATGGGAGAGAAAAAGATGAGCGAGTTGAAAGTGATGATGAAACCGACCAACCCTAAACTAGTTGAATCAGCAGTGGGATGGAGCCGTAATACCTCCGATACTACTACCCATCTACCTTGACTCCCTCGACCCTTAAAATATGCATAGATGGTATATGCTATGTAATATATTACATGAAGATAAAAGTTGGTACAATTATACAATATATATTACATGAAGATAAAAGTTGGTACAATTATACAATATATGTGTGTATTTAATGCATATATATATATATATATATATATATATATATATATATATATATATATATATATATATATATATATATATGGGTTTGGAAGTAAAATTGGTTTTGGGACATCTCTGACTCTCAGGTAGCCGTCAGCATAAATGTTGCAAAAAGAGAAAAATCAGGGACCATCTTCCACTTTTCACATGTCATTTTTCTCGTCCAATGAAATAAAACTTTTCTTTGATTTATATATTTATTTATATCATCGTTTTATCAAAGACAAAATTACAAAAATGTCTTGTGGTTTACCAAAAGTCACAAAGTCAGTCTCTATTTCAAAGACCAGCGACCCAAAAGAATATTAATATACCTTAATTTTAGATATATTTATGCAATTTAAATAAAAAAAATGAAATAACTGATAGAATATATAACAAATAAAATGTTAAAATAGAGAAACTTACAAATAAAACGTTAAAGTTAAGGATGGTAGATAATGTTCGTACTTTGTACAAGAAAAAAGCTGAAGTATAATAGTTAAATGTGAATTTTATAATTGATACACATTGTATAACTTGTACTATGATTGATGCACATGGTACAAGCTTGATTGAAAGAAATACACTGACACCTACGTACAATTCAAGGGTACAACTCTTTGCTTTTTTCTGATTGTGTTGTGTGTCCCTTTTCCCAAATTCCTTTGAAACATTTAATTAAAGTTAATTTAAAATTGAGTTTTGGCTCTAAAATAATAGAGTAAATTGCACGAATGGTCCCTATGGTTTAGGGTAATTTACACGTTTGGTCCCTAACTTATTTTTTCTCACTCGAAAGATCTCTACTGTTTGTTTTTGTTACGCGCTTGGTCCCTGTCTTACCTAAAAATACTATTTTGCCCTTGATTTTTTAATTTATTTAAATAAAAACACCCCCAATCCCACCCTCTCACCTTACCTTACCTACCCTGCCATTTTTTACTATTTAAATAATAGTCTTTTTAGGTAAGATAGGAAACAAGCGCGTAACAAAATCAAACAGTAGGGACCAAGTGCGTAATAAAAACAAACAGTAGGGACCTTCCGAGTTAAAAAAATAAGTTAGGGACCAAGCATACAAATTACACCAAACCATAGGGACCATTCGTGTAATTTACTCAAAATAATAAGTCCCATTTCTTTTTGAATTTATAAAATCAAATATTTTTATTATATACAACATCTTTCTTGTAATCTATTAATATTTAATTTATTAAAATGTATTAATATTGTATATTGAAAACTAAGTTGATCCTAAGTTGAAGTTTGAACTACATGTTACGTGTATTTAATTTTATTTTAAATTATAAAAAAAAAACATTATGTAATTAAAAGAAAATATAGAGGAAAAGGGTCGTTTTTTATTTAATTTAAATATGTACTCAATGCATTACAAACTTGTACAGTACATGTCATGCAAGCATAAGCAGGGTTGTTTCCATTTTCCTTTCAAACGACGGCGTTTTTGCCGTCATTGAATACATTATCCATCTTCATTCTCCCTGAAGAACTTCTCCAAAACCCACTCTCGTAAAACTTCTCCCACATTTCATTCTCCAACGCCGCCACGTCGCTGTCCACCTCCGGCGCAACGAACCTCTCCGCCGCCGCAGTCACCGCCGGATGCATCGCCAGCTCCTCGTCGATGTTCCTTCTCTCACCGCCACCAGCGCCATTGCGATGATTCATTCTGCTGCGCCTCCGGCGAATAGCATTCCTGCACAGACCCGTCGGGACCTTGTACATCGTCAAAACCATGAAATCGACAAGCGCACAGGGGAAACAGCAACAGACCGCCGTAACCTCCGCTGCGGCCCCACCGACGGCCTCCCCCATACGTTTGCTTTTACATGATGCGTGCTCTTTTAGCAACTGACGGCGTTCCTCCGGAGAACGGCGTAATACGAGCTTGGGTTTCGTCATGATAATCTCCCAAACGGAAATATAATTTCTTCTACAGAATTGAGATTTGAAGAGAGATTGAAGCGAAGAAATTGTCAGGGCATCGGAGGGAAAGGGGTTTGGGAGAGCCCGGCCTTATGGGTCGTCGGCGATTGCTTTTGATTAATAGAATGGAAGGGCCGAACGCCCGAACCCACGGCAACCGCTTAGATTGCAGGTTTTATAAATGAGGCAGAATTAGTATCAAAGGAAAGGCTCAGAAAATCCGCATCTCCGAAACCATCGGAAGGACAACCACTCATTCACGGCGGGTATTCATCTCCGTCGTTCCGCCGTGAATTTGAGCGTCTGTGTGTGGGAAATAATCATCGAGTGGGAGAGGAAGTCGGGGGGTTTATTTTCGCTTACTTTTTATGGCCTACATTCAAAACATAAAAATTGTACTAGTAAAATTCAAAAGTTATAATACTTGATTTTTATTTTGTGTTGTCATAAAAAGTGTAACATTCTGGTGTTCGGTAAAATTGTTTGTCAGATATACATTTTTTAATCGATTGATGTCCAAAACCACTAAATTTTAATTTTATCCAATAAAAAAATCAATTTTTTTATTTTTGTTTCATTGTATAGATGAATATGAATTTAACTAGGGATAGCCCGTTTCCTAACCCATATGGAATCCGCACGGTAAACAAATTAGACAAAAATACAAAAATGGTCCCTGTGGTTTGTCATTTTTTGTGGATATGGTCCAAACCTTTTGAAAATTGGATTTTTGGGCCTTATTGAGAGGTTTGTGTGTGGAACAGGTCCCTGAAGTTAACCACCGTTTGTTTTTGGCTGTTAAACCCCTCACGTGCATTGCACATGAGGGCATAAATGTCTATTTACTCGAGAGGAAACGGACGAACCAAATTCATCGATGGAAGCTCTAGTGGTGGGTTGATATCACGAGGGGAGGGAAGGGCGTCGATCTCCGGCGACCCTTATGGGCTTTAATCGTCGTCTGATCGGGAATGAGAAAACGAACGGGTCGATCGGTGAGCACATCACGAGAGGGGAAGGAACAGGGCAGATCGACGGCTATTTCGGGGGTGTTTGTTGCTATGGAGCCGACTAGGAGCACAGGGAAACTTAAGAGGGTCATGCCCTCTTGATCGCCGACAAACCTCGACTCAGGTGGAGGCTCTTCGACTGTAAATGAAGAGGAAAGAGGGAGGGAGAACGACAGTATCAGGGGTGTTTTGGGGAGATGTTTTTCGGCAGGAGGAAGAGGGGTAGCTCCTCGACGGTTCATTACAACACCGCCATTATTGGTGGTGTTTGGCTGGACCGAAGAGCGAATGGAAGTAGTCGGGGGTCTCGTCGGTCTTGGTGGTGTTCTGTGACAGCGAGGGAGGCCGAGGGTGGGTTGAGAGGGTTGTGGCGGGTTTAATCCAGTTGTTTCTTCTCTTTCTTTTCCGGTCACAATAATGGAAGGAAGATGGTGGTGTAGCTGTGCGAGACGACTGGTGGTGTTGGGGTTGCTGTGTGGTCGGGAGGGAAAAAGGGATTCCATGAAGCTCCTTCTTGTTTTGTTGCAAGTATACACAAGAACGAGAACCAATTTGTTCTTGGCTGGGAATGAAGATGCAAACAGACACAAAAAATCAATCAATTTTTACTGTAAGGGTTCAATTGTTGTTGGTTGTTTGGATTGTTGATTTTATCATTGTTAGTTTGTGCTTGAGTGTTGTTTTGATTGAGTGTTGTATTGGGTTGAAGAAACTGTACACATAATCTATTCAATTGTGATGTGCAGGATTATTTATGCCCATCGTTTCCTTTCGAGTAAAAAAACATTTATGCCCTCGTGTGCAATGCACATGAGGGGTTTAACAGCCAAAAACAAACGGTGGTTAACTCCAGGGACCTTTTCCACACACAAATCTCTCAATAAGGACCAAAAATCCAATTTTCAAAAGGTTTGGACCATATCCACAAAAAATGACAAACCACAGGGACCATTTTTGCATTTTTGTCAACAAATTAAATTGACATGTCCGGCGTCTAAGGCTTAGCGGTATGGAAGACTAAACCACGCATAGGAGCTGAGTTGGCAAGCCAACCTACGCGTGAACACCGCCCCAAACACGCGTAGATGACTTGTGGCGTAGCCCCATCCACTGACGAAGACAACGAATGGTGTGAGGAGAGAGAACCAATAGTCCTTTGTTCGGCCGTTTAGACTTTAAAAAAAATTATTAAATTTTTAATTTTAAATAACATCTACATCTTTTATCTATATATACTATACACTTTATCTTCATTTTACACTTCTAAAACAAAAAATTTCTTCTACTTTCTTTATCTTTTCTTCAAAAAATGGACCCAAACCAAAATACCCCACCCACTCCAAACACCACAAACACTCCAAATGATTATCAAACATATATGCAATTGTTGAACTCTCCCATTCAACAACAACCTTTATTCACTAACCTTCCATACAACTCACAATTTTTCCAACAACAACGACCACAGCAACAATTCATTCAACCCCAATTTCAAGGTTTTCAGCAACAAACTTCTCAACAATTCCAAACACAATCATCTCAAGTCCTATTATCTCAATCCCAAACTGTGAATCTCGACAACGATAACGAACGGGTCCAAGAAACACCACAACCATCTCGAAGAAGACAACCAAAAGCAAAAGGGAAAAAGAAAGCATTGGCTTGGAACGAAGAAGAGGAGGAAGCTTTAGCGAAAGCTTGGATTTTCATATCATGTGACTCCAGAAGAGGCAACGCGCAATCTAGAGAAAGTTTTTGGAATTGTGTTTTAGATCACTTTCACGTGCTACTTGGAAGGTAAACAGATCGGTCGTACGACGCGGTCAACGGAAAACGGCGTGATCTACGCGCGGCTTGCAAAAGGTTTAATGGCATATTTGAAAATCTAAAAAATATACATAAAGTGGTTGCAAAGACTTCAACATTTTATCAACCGCTTGCTACCAATTCAAAGTTACCAACAATGGTAAACCATTCGGTCACCAAAAAGCGTGAGAAATTTGCTGTAACGGTCCAAAATGGGTCCTTAATCCGAAGACGTCGCATTCAGACTCAACCACCGACTCCACCGAAAGACCAAGAACTTCTGAATCGGACGTGGGTTTTAGGCTAGACCTCAATGATGACTTTGATGTTGGCGATGCAGAGGGTCCACCGGAAGTCCAACTCCATCGACCACCGGGAAGGGACAAAGCAAAATGGGGGGGGGCGTCTTCAAGCGGAAAAGCAACCGCAACTAGTGACGACGGACTTGTGGAATCCATAGATAAAACTCTAAGTTTTCTAGAAAAAAAATACGAATCAACAGAGGAAGCTCGTAGCCAAAAAATCGCTCTTACTGATCTTCAAATCATAAACACAAAGCCCCAACCAGACCTCGACCCGGAAAATCTCGCGACATTTCTCAAAATCCAACAACAAGTTCGTGATAAATATGGAAAGTTGGTTCTAATATTTATGTTTTAGTTGGTATGTTTTATGTTTTTTTTAAGTAATGTAGGATATTATTTTTTTATGTTTTTTTAAGTATTTTAGGATTTAAATTTGTGTGTTTTAAAATTAATATAATGTGTTTTAATATAATGTTTTTAATTTAATGTGTGTTTTTATTTGAATTATTTTTTTAATTTAATCTAATATGTCAAAAAAAATAAATAAAAGAAAATTGATGTAGAGTGGTAACTATTTCCAAGGGTTAGTGGTTGGTAGTGAGTTTGTAGTGGAGTTGATGTGGCGCTAATGTGACCGTGTGACGTCACTTTTTGAGTGGGTTGGGTATGACCATACCCCTCCCTTAACGTAAGGTGCAATTGTTCGTGTGTCTCTCAATCACATCTCAAATCTCTAATTTGATGTCGTTTTTTAATTCAGTCATTCAAGTTTTCACATGTGATCAACATATACATTAATTTTGTTTCATTGTTCATATTCTTTATCAATAAATGCCGCATAATCACCATCCAACTTCAACATTTGTAAACTATCAATTAAATACTTTTTTTTAAAAGAGTAATATATATTTATACACATTTAGCCCCGATCAATTTTGTAAGAAAACTTTCAAACTCAGTAAACTCCGTAACAATATCACTTAGACCGGAAGGAGTGGTAACACTCTTAGCATCTTGACACATAAGATATTTTAGTTTTTTTGATGTCATATAAGCTTAGCATGTCTAGCACAAAAAAGGTAGGGAGTGGAAGTGTGATAATTTAATATGTTTAATTTTAGAGAAAAAAAATAAAATATATAAAAAAATACAAATCAGTCAATCACAACACCCCTTCATACTTTCTCTCTCTTCTCTCCTCTTGCTACACCCATAGCAACTTCTTCTTAGCATCCACCTTAGCACAAGGTATGGGGTGGTGTAGCATCCTTATCATCTCCCTTAACACATCCCTTAACACCTCCCACTCCCGATAACAACCCATCATAGTAACTTCGGGGGTTTTGGCACAAACACTCCTTCATAGTTAATGTCAATTGTTAAGAACTCATTTGTGGACATTCTGAAAAATGAAGAAAATACAAACTTATAAGAACAAATTTCTTTTGATTTTAAGGTTTTTGAAAAGGACAGAAAAACAAACTTGGTGGAATCAGTGAAAGAAGTGAAATTGGAAAAGAGAAGAAAATTTAAGGTTTTCAAGGGTTTTGAAGTCCGCATTTTATTTTTTGAGCTTTGATTTAAGTGGTTCTAGAGACCGGAAGGCAACGAAAAAATGAAGTTACGTGTTTTTTAATTTTTGTTTGCGTTTTGATTTAGGTAATTTAATGTCACGTTAACTTTAGTTTGGATACATGTGATATCGGATTCCACATGTGTTAGGAAACGAGTTATCTCTCGTTAAATTTGAGTTAGGAAACGAGTTATCTATGGTTAAATTCGTATTCAATGGTATAATAAAACCAAAAGAAAAAAAATTGGTTTTCTTATTGAATACAACTAAAAGTTTAATGAC